GGGGCCCAGCGCGGATCCAAGAAATCCGCGTTGAGCGCCAAAAGTTTAGGTGTATGGCGTTTTTTCTTCTTCGAGAATCCCCTAATCCTTTCCGCACCCGCTTCGACCGCACCGACCGACGCGGGCAGACAAAGTAAGCCGAGGAAAAATTCAGCTGGGGCGGCCAAAAGCCCGAACCAACGCTGGAGACGCAAAATGTCCAAAGCTGGTTCGGGCTGATCGCCCCGGGGAGGGCGATGACGAGGAGCGAGGAGCACGTTGCGGCAACTGCTGGCCCTCCACTATGGCGCGCCCCGAGCCTTCCGCCCTCCCTCCCAACCCGTGGCCGAGCGCCCGCCTGGCGCCGCCTCGCCACCGCCGCCGCCGGCGGGCGCCCCCGAGCTGGAGGCGGGGTCGGCCTGCCGGGAGGGGCGAGGCCGGCGATGCACGAGCGAACGACGACGACGACGACGACGACGACGACGACGACGACGACGACGACGACGACGACGACGACGACGACGACGACGGACGACGGACGACGGACGACGGACGACGGACGACGGACGACGGACGACGACGACGACGACGACGACGACGACGACGACGACGACGACGAACGACGACGACGGACGACAAACGACGGACGACAAACGACAAACGACAAACGACGAACGACGAGCGACGGCGACGGCGACGGACGACGAACGACGAACGACGTTGACGGCGACGGACGACAGACGACGACGACGGCGACGACGTCGACGACGACAACGTTTCGGACACTTCGGACGGCGGCAGGCACGCACTCCGTCCTCACTCCGCGGCAGCGACGGCAGCGAATGCGCTCCGCACTCTGCCCAGCGGCCCGCGGGCGTCGCGCGCAGCCGCTCTCGGCCGCCCTCTCGGGCAGCCGCGTGGCCGCCCCCGCCTCGCGGGCCCGCCGCCGCCCCCTTCTCCGCCTCCTCGCAGGCTCGCCCCGCGCGCTCGCCTCGGCACCGGCGGCCTCCTGCGCCGAGCTCCCTCTCAAGCTGGTCTCGCCCCAGCACGCTCAGCCCCGCACACTCCCCAGCGGCCTGCCTCCATGGCGGGCCTGCGCCTGCTTCCTCTCCTCGCGGCGCTCGGCGGCTTCCCTCGCCTCCCTGGAGTCGGCCGCAGGCGCCCCAGCCTCCGGACCTCATCCTCGTCGACTCCGCGCACGCCTGCACGTCCGCGGCCGTAGGGGCGGAACGGGAGCCCGGCCCCGTACGCCGTGGGCTGCCTGCGCAGCTCTTCCTCGCCCCCTCGCCGTCCTCCTCGAGCTTCTCGAGCTCCTTTGCCTGCGACCTCCCCACTCCTGTGCGGAAGTCGCACATCATCGCCCTTTGTGTGCCATCCTCGATGGGAGTGCGTCCGAGTGAACCCCTAACGGTGTATCTCCGAGCTCCCCTCCTTTTCTGCACGGCTTGGCATGACTTTTCGGGGGGAATTCTGCGAGGCGGGGATATATCCATATCCACCGACCGTGGAACCGACGTCCTGGGACCTCACAGGGCGGTGGATACGCATATACCTGGGGCCCCGAATGTATCCATGTCCACCTGCCGAAGCCTTCGAAGAACAACCAAAAAACAGAAAGCGGAAACCCTGAGATCCTGGCTTCGCAACGTTTGCTCGGACCCGGCACTTTCGTGCCCAGCCTTTGGGACCAGGTCCCTCGCAAGTCGATCCGGCTCGCGTGAGGACACAGAAAACATGTTCGAGGGCTCCGGCTATGAGTTCTGCTGTTGTTTTTTGTCGCGACGTCGGATCTCAGGGAGCACGCATGTCTGGATTTCCACGCGGAACATCTGGAACGCACGGCGTCGGCATTACATTGACCAGCACACCGACGACAGCAGCACACCGAATCCACACCAAAAACATAATGCCCAAGAGCCCCGAACTCTGCGACGAGTTCCGCGTCCCCGGCCTTCGAAGCATCGGCGGCCTCAGCGCGCTGGGGGAGGCCTTCAAACTCGGGCACCACATAGGCCCCCACGGGTTCTCCCAAGGGCTCCTGGGCAACAGCAACGGCGACGGCAAAGGCGGCGGCCACGCGGGGGTCCCCACAGCGCCCCCACCGCTCAGGCGCCGTTCTGAAATACTCGGCATTCAACGCTCTCGACACAGGACTTGACGCAGACCTACGCTCTCCACGCAATGAAAACAAGCCTGGGTCGCGGCGGTAGAGCCACGCGCCCCGCACCTATACGTCCCGAGCCGTCGACACACGCACAGATGGTCATCGCCACGCTGGATAACCACTGGGAGTCACCATTCAGGATGCTTGGGAGCGGGGAAGGAATCGCGCCCGTACTCTGGGACACCATCACCTGGTGGACCACCCACGACACGTACTGTAGGGTTTCCTTGTGTCCGGCCAGCGCCAATCTCATGCTCTCGCTGACCGCCTGGGCCACCATGCGCGAGGCGGCCCCGCATTTTGCAAACAAAACGGCCTCGGCGTTGCCGAGCCAATCCATGGCCTCCAAAGAGCCATTTGCTGACCCCGCGCCGTCGATGTCACGGCGTGCTGGTGTCCACTGAGCAGAAGGAGCGGAAAGTCCAGGAGCTCTGGCCATGGCAGCGGCGAAAAAAATCTTCCCATGCGCGAGCATGTTTGGCGCGGCCGTGCTGACGGGCCCGAGACCATCCGCTCCCCTTCATCACCGGCGACGACAAGTCCGTAAAAAATCCTCGTGGTTCGGCTGAAACTCCAACCCCATCTTGATCGCACATCTTCCAGCCCGACCGACGGTCTGAACCAGGTACGGCAGCGGGCCGTAGGCGGCCCTCTTGGACAGTAAAGTATTGGGGTCCACTTGGCAGACCGATCGATCACCCGCACCTCCGAGTCTCTGGGATACGAGCAGCAAACCCAGACCCATCCGCGCACGACTTGACGCCCCAGGTCTGAGGGGTGTTTCCCCGCGCGTAGACTTCTGAGCTTCCACTTCTGTCTGGCACCTAAGGAGGCTTTGGGATCCAGCAGACGAAGTCCTAGCCCAACTCCCGACTCCCCCAGGGGATCCCGGACGTCGGACAGGTGCTCAGGGAAGGGATTGCACTCGTACTCGGGGTCCCCTTCAAGCAAAGCCGCAGATAGATAATGCGACCCCTGCACTCCGCAATCTCCTACCCACGCGCAGCACGCGGGCGCAGCTGGCCTCGAGCCCCACGATCAAGTCGAGCACGAATTGGGATGCCGTCGGCCCAGTGCCCAAGGAGCGCTCAAAGACGCCGCGCACATTTGATGCTTGTGACAGAGTGCCGCAGAGCTCGGTGCCAACTCGGAGGAGAGAAACCAAGCCCCACGGTGCAACGGTGCCTGATCAGCTTCGCGCGTTGCCACCTCAGCACACCTTCCATCGAGATAACCTTGAAATCCGGAGGTCGTAGGAGGTCGTAGAAGTTAAGTCGGAGGTCGTAGAAGTTACCTGGGCACATGTGTCGGAGGTCGTAGAAGTTACCTGGGTTGTCCTGGAGCTCCGCGAGATCCTCCGAAGCGAAAGCCAAACTGCCCCAAGAGCTTCCCTGGTTGCGGCCCAAGACGGCTTATCCCCGAACTTATCCCTTTGACTTTCCCAGGCGTTGCGAAGCCGACAAAGTTGCATCCTGTGGCCCCAAATCCACTCGCCAAACTTCAGAACGACCTGGAGGGTAGCGCGGAAGATCGGGTCATACATGCCGTTGGCATGACACATCAGATACGCTGCGACATCTGTCGAGGACCCGCTGGGAGCCCCATTCAGCACCATCGCGAGCAGACGCAGCTCTCGCAAAGCAATGCCGGAGACGCCGGCAACAGCGGCATCGTGGCTGACGGATGGCAGCGCCCCCGCCATCCACAAAGACGCGGCTCGCCTCCCAACTGCACCTCTCAGCGCATTGAAACGTCGTCGCCTCGCACGAAACTGCTCAAGGCGCTTCTTCTGCGTGCCCCCTGGCACCCTGGGGCCTGAGAGTTCATGTCCGAGGTTGGTTCCTCACGCGAGCGTTGCAGGGATGCAGCCCGACTTCGAGGCCTCGAGGATCGCGCCGGGCTCCTTGGAGTCCCAGGCGAACGCCCGAGACGCCATAGCCACAGACTTGAAGTTCTCGAGGCCCCCGGTGTCCTCGGCGATGCATTGGGGCCCAAAATCGCCCATGACGGCACGGGGGGGGGCGGCAGTGGGGAACGCGCCGTCGGCTCTCGCTGCCGCCCTGTAAGTCGGCAAGAACAGCAAGAACGCGGCGCGCGTGCATCCCGCCAGAATCCCTGGAAGGACGTGGCGCTCTCTGAAACGCTCCCAAAGGCGCGCGCTGTTCTCGGTAGTTGGTAAAATAAAACTAGCATCCACAACGATCAGCACGGGGGCCCCGTGGCTTGCCCTTCGCGCAACAGAGCTCGCGGGCCCACCATCTCATGACATTTCATCATACCGAAGAGCATGGCACATGCGAGCTCGCCGAGCAGCTCCGACACCACCTGCTGGAGATTGCGATCGGAGGCCGAAGCCGAATAAGTCTGACCAGCACGAGCCCCCCACATCTCATCACGATGAGACGCCTGCTGCTAGTTGGCACCGGCGGGTGGCCGGAGCATGCCCCAGTGTCTGATGAGCGCGCCACTGAGAACAAAAAGCCTGGCGTCGCCGTCCGGCATGGGCAACCTCGCCAGCTCGCCACCGATTATGCCCCGTGGCCAAGCCAGCCAATCTTCAAACGAAGAAAATGAACATGTCCGCCATCGCCTGCGCACCCTGGTCCGAGAGCTAGTCTGGGCAGCGCGGTGGCAGCCCAGCGGGGCCCGCGGCGGCGCGGACTGCGAGGCCCCTCGCCGCGGTCCTCACCTGCCCAGCCTCGATGCCCAGCAACGCTGTCCACGCCTCCGCGCCCGCTGGCAGCTCAGGCGCCTCTCGAGCACGGCATTCGCCCAGCTCGTCAGCGTCTGGTCTGCAAGCTGGCGCAACTGCGAGCCCCGACCGCACTTCAGGATGTTTGCCCGGGCTCGGACCTTGGACATCGCGCGCGCCCTGCTGGCGCCTTTCAAGAAAAGACTCGCGGGCGCACTCGCGCCGCTGATTGTCTGCCTCGCAGCGGGCCTTCGCAATGCGCACGCCCGCTTGCCCCACAAGCACCGCCGCCGCTCTCTCGAAGGTCGGGTCGACGGTCTCCGCGATGCCTGCGAAGAAGAACTGATTGAAATCAACACCTGTCGCCGCAAGCGCGTCGCTTTCCACGGTGATCTGCTGGCAATAGCGCCCGACCTCGTCGACGGCCCAGGGCCCCTTTCGCGCGCTGCAGCTCGGTCAAGGCACTCGCGGCGCGGCGCCTCTGGAGTCCGCAGAACATGGCCAGCCTCTCTTTCTCCGGCTTGAGATGCAGGGCCCATCTGCGAGCCATCGCCCAGCGAGCCACCTGCGCGCCTCGATGCTTCCGACGCCCCGGCGGCCCCCAGGCCATCTGCTGCCACTTGAACTTGGGCGCCCCCGGCCTGCCGCCGAACCGCTTCGCCTCCAAGTCCACCTCGTCGCGTCGCCTCGCCAGCTCGAAGTCCACGCCATCCAGCACCGCGCCCCAAACTGCTTGCGAAGTGGCCCCGTCAGACAGCGAGCGGGCCCTGCGCCGCGGGCATGGGGGCCCAGGGCAACCAATCGGCGGGATAGCTGCTAACACTCTCAGTTCGTCTGGCACTCGGCACCACATTGGGCTTTCGCGCCCCAAAAGACGAAGCCGCAGAAGGAAATGAGGCGGCGGGATCGACGCCTTATCGGTGAGCACCTCCACCTGGCGATCAAGCCTCAAGACAAGGTTACTGGCCGCGATGAAAGAGTCGAGCTTAGAGGAGCCCAGATCCACGATACAGATAAACCTCTTCAACATGCACGGCACGCCCTGCAGCTTGGCCTCCCACGCCCTCGACGCAGACGGCGTCGAATTCGGCGTTGGAGCCGCCTCCGATGACCCGGTCCAGCCCTGCGGCCTGCCAGGCAGCAACCCTCTGCGCCAGGGCCCAGACGATGGAGACGTTCTCCCCTGCCAGGCCGACGGACGTGACAGGGTAGACGGTGGCCACGGTGATGCCACTGGGAACCGCATGCCATGCCCTCCCTCATCGGGCGGGCTCGTGATCGCGATGTTCACGCGCGTAAGAACTGCCGCGCCACTCGAGTTCGCGGCAGCGGCGGCGCCCGTCTCGATCGCGGGGCCCAGAGCCAGTGCCACCATGCATCCCTAGCACGGTTCTGGAACTCGCCAAGCGTGCTCTCCGCTATGCGGGTCGCCTGGGCCATCAACACCAAGCCTTCGCACTCGCCAGGGCAATTCAACATCGGAAAATTAGGCCGTGCATTGACCGTCGCGACGTCTCCCACCTTGGCCGACCTCGCACCGCGGCTGGGAGGCGAGCTCGACGCCCTCGTAGCCGCGCGATCTCCAGCCGCATGTGACGACCACCCTCCAGCCGATCCACCAGAGCGAGTGAACTCCAGGGGTCTCGTCGCGGTCGCCACGGCTGGGACAGCCGTCCTCACGCGAGATTCGCTGGAACTTCCCTGCGCCGGCGATGCGGCCTTCTCAGGGCAGCGCCTGGTCGACGCACAGACCAGTCTCGAAGATGCGCGCCCTCCTGGGGAATGCGCATCCGAGGCCACGGGCGCTGACGACAACCTGGCTGACGCTGTGGTGGCACTCTGTAAAGTACTCGCTCTATCTCTACCTGACGCACTGGGGCTCTGAACAGCAACCGGTGGCACACTGGCTCTCGGCATACCGACTCCGGATTCAAGTCCCTGGTCGGAGCCCGAGGGGCGTCTCTCCGAGTCTGTCGACCTCCAATGCTACACATACCATGATGCACAATACGCGGTCCACTCACGGGGCGCTGGGACTCTGACAAGCAGCTGGTGGCACGTTAGACTCCGATATGCCGACTTCGGGCACAGGTCCCTCGTCGGAGCTCGCAACCTGGCTATCCAGGCCAATCGGTGTACCACTGTTACACATACCAAGGCTACCAAGGGACGCATTGCCCCCTACTGGGGGTCGCCAGTGTAGTCGGACTTCGCATCATATTCGCAAGCACCAATTAAACAACAATCAGAATGCTGGCGGGTGCCTTACTGGGCACGAGGCTTCTTGGCAATTTTCGAATGAGTCTCCTGCCCTAGTTTGAGTTTCTCGCGTAGCTGCTCGGCTCCGTCGGACTCCTGGCTGGCATGCCCATGGCGTCGAGCGACGCCCTGAGGTCCTCTGGGGCCAGCGGGTCCATCGCATCCTTCTCGACCTCCATCTCGTCGGCGTCCTCGCCCGCTGCAGGCTCGGGCTCGCCGCCAGGAGCAGGTGGGATTCAGCATGCTCGCACAGCTTGTGCGGCCTGCTCGCCGCGAGCCGTCTGCAGCTGCAGCTCAGGGGGAGGAGGAGGAGGAGGAGGAGGAGGAGGAGGAGGAGGAGGAGGAGGAGGAGGAGAAGGAGGAGGAGGAGGAGGAGGAGGAGGACGAGGAGGAGGCAAAGGAGAAGGAGGAGAAGGAGGAGGAGAAAGGAGAGAGGAGAGAGGAGGGAGGAGGAGGGGGCGGAGGAGTAGAATGAAGGCAGCAGCAGAGAGGGGAGGAGCAGAGGAGGAGGAACCAGGAGGAGGAGGAGGAGGAGCAGAAAGGAGGGGCGGAGAGGAGGAGGAGAAGGAGGAGGAGGAGAAGGAGGAGAAGGAGGAGAAGGGAGAGACGAGGACGGACGAGGAGGAGGCAAAGGAGAAGGAGGAGAAGGAGGAGGAGAGAAAGGAGAGAGGAGAGAGGAGGGAGGAGGAGGGGGCGGAGGAGTAGAATGAGCAGCAGCAGCAGAGGAGGAGGAGGAGGAGCAGAGAGGAGGAGGAACCAGGAGGAGGAGGAGGAGGAGAGGAGGAGGAGGAGGAGGAGGAGCAGAGAGGAGGGGCAGAGAGGAGGAGGAGGAGGAGGAGGAGGAGGAGAAGGAGGAGAAGGAGGAGAAGGAGGAGGAGGAGGAGGAGGAGAGAGGAGAGAGGAGAGAGGAGAGAGGAGAGAGGAGAGAGGAGGGAGGAGAGAACAGGTGGGTGGGAACCGCCGCGGACGCCGCGGCCCGTGCAGGGCTGCAGCGTCCACTCCGAAGGGCCGAGCAGCGCCCCAACCCGTGGCTCAGACTGCGGCGGCGCCGGCCGCCCTCGCCCCCCCTCTGCGCGGGGGCTGGCCCAAGGGGGGGAAACCTCGAGCCAGAATCGACAACGCATCGCCGATAGATCGGCGACAGGAGCCCGTTGGCGAAACCGCGCGTTCCTGGACGGGGTGGACTATCGGGCCCCAAATCTGCGACGAGTAAGCGATCGGGGCTCGACGCGTACCCCCCCTGCGCCCATCCCCACCTACGTTGCCCCTGACCCCCGACCTCGCGCCCAGACTACCCAGCACTCTGCGGGCGGGGAACCGCGCTGCGTCTCATGACTCCCGCGAGCCGCGGGGCCGCCTCGAGGTGCCGGCGGCTGCGGCGTGCACCACGCCCTTGCCCGCGGCCGATGGCCGACACCTGCGGCTCATCGGGCGCCAACCGGCCCTCCATGCGGCCGTGGCCGTTACGGCTGGGCGGGTGGCAGAGGCGCCATGGGCTGCGAGCGCCAAGAGGAAGAGGCCTCAGGCATTCGGCACACGCACGCGGGGACGTGTCCTTCACCATCGGACCAAAATCTGGCTGCTCGGATCGCCCCTGCTGCGCAGGCACCGCAGGCACACCCCAATCTCCCCGAAAACGGGCGGCGGCCTGATCCTGGCGCGGGCAAACGCTGGCTCGTCCCGCGCGCCCACCAGCGCCCACTCTTGAGCACCGCGTCCTGCGCGGCAGCACGGGGAGGCGGAGGCGCACTCTGCCCACGCCCCGCTCACGGCTGCCGCTGCTCCACTGGCGCTGGCGGCACGGGAAGCAGCACCCCTCGGCCCTCGCACTCCTCGGTCAGCGGCCCCGCTCCTCCAGGAACCGCCCGCTCGCGCGCGGGACACGCCGCCCCGCTCGCGGCTCCCGTGCCCGCTGCTGCTCGCGCGGCGCCGCGGCCGCCCGGCCGCGGCGGCGACCTCCAGCCGTGCCGGCGCGGCGCTGTGGCCGCCAGGGCGCTTCCGCCTGGCTGCCTCCCCCGCAGGGCACGAGACCTCATGGGGCGTCTTGGGGGCGTCTTGGAGTCCCTTGGGGTGGTCGTCGGCGCCTCCGGGGACCTCTTGGGCGAGGAGGAGGAGGAGGAGGAGGAGGAGGAGGAGGAGGAGGAGGAGGAGGAGGAGGAGGAGGAGGAGGAGGAGAGGAGGGCGCCTCTTGGGGCGCACGGACGGGATCGTGGAGGCCTTCTCAGGGGGGGGAGGGCCCGGAAGCCCTCTCGACCTCCCCTCGTCGGGCGCGCTTTGGAGCCCTCGTGGATGATCGTGGATGTCTCCTGGGCCGCAGCGCCTCCGCCGCGGAGGCCCCGCTGGAGCCGCCGCTGGGGCACCTCCGCCTTCCCCGTCCTGCGATCGGCGCCGCCTGGCCTCGAGCCGCGGGGCGCCGCGGCCTGTGGCACCCAGGACGCTCCCGAGCCGCCCCACGGCAGGCCCAGCGGGCCCCCAGGCGGCCACGAGAGCTCCGAGGCCACACAGCTCCAGGACGGCCTCGAGCCCCGACACCAGACAGCTCCAGGGAGGGGGGCGAGGAGGAGGACAAGGAGGACAGGGGAGAAGAGGAGAAATAGCACGAGGGCGGGCGACCTGCAGGCAGAAGTCTGGCACGGGCCGGGCACAAAACCAATCGACACGGAGGGGACGGGGGGGAGAAGGATGAAAGTAGAAGGGAGGGAAAAAGAGAGAGGGAGGGGACTCTCAATCTGGTGGGGGCCTGGAGAGCACAGGGGCACAACTCTCTGAAATGGAGGCGCAGTATCTGGACAACGACGACGGATAAGATACGTCGGGGATCTCTGAGATCGGGCGACTATGATGGATTTATTGGGCGCCGCGGCCTTCTCAGAGCATTCAGGAACGCTCTGGAGCGATGCCCGATCCAGGACACGATTTACGCGGAGGGACCTCGGCAGAAGAGGAGAAGGTGGAGGGAGAGGGGGAGGCGGGCTGAAGTTCAGTAAAAAAATGGACGAGGGGGAGAAGAAGGAGGAGGAGGAGGAGGAGGAGGAGGAGGAGGAGGAGGAGGAGGAGGAGAGGAGAGGGGAGGAGGTTCTGGACAGGACCTCGAGGCAGATCCAGCCGTGGAGACGGGGGGACCCCACAGAGGCCAGCAAAGATGCCACGGGCGAGCGGCGGGGCAACTAGGGGGGAAAGGGAGGACTTGAAGGGGCCCTCAGACACACAAATTCGCCAGCCCAACTGGCCAGAGGCGTGCTAAGATCTCCGGTAACTACTTAACAATATTTCTAGTTCGCGCGCGCGGGGCGGCCCCTAGGGGGCCCCGGGCGAAAAGTACCCCGGCCGATCCCCGGCTGGGTCCCGGGCGATCCCCAGGGGGAGGCTATTTTTCGCCACCCCTCAAGAGGATCGTGGCCTCCGAGGGGGGGGCTGCAATCGACTGCCCCCCCTCCCGCCCCAAGGGGCCCCCAAGAGCCCCCCAAGAGGCCCCAGGGGAGCCCAATACGCCGCCAGGGAGCTCCAAGACGCTCCCAAGAAGCCCCCAAGAAGCCTCCAAGACGGCCCCAAGAGGCCCAAAATAGCGCTCCACGGCCGGCGGAATGAGCGAAGCGATTAAACAAATACACACAAATCACCGGATTCCCCACATTTCCACATATTTTCTGTGTTTTTGTCTTCCCCCTTACTTCCCATATTTCCAATATTTTCGGGGGAATCGACGATTAATTGTGTCTGTGCGTTGTTGTTCCCTCCTGAGGTCTGGGGTTCCAGCGTGTCCTTTGCTGCACGTGGCCCAGGGTAAGCTACAAGGCCTGCCAGATCGCAAGGAGCAAAGGGGTCAAAGAGCGTGGGGGGGGTCCCGCGAGGGGCACCAAACTCGGGCCCCGGAAGCAGGGCGGGGGGCCAAAGCCGCCGGGCCGAGGGGCCGTTGCGCAGAGCCTGCCCGGCAGTGGAGCAAAAGGGGCGGGGTGGGCCATGCCCGAGAGAGCGCCATGCCGACGTGACTTCATGGGAACGGGCGAGAGTGCACCCTCCGGACTCCGGCTCTCGCCGAGCTCCAGTCTCGATTGCCAAGGTCCCGACTAGCAGGAGGAGCAGGAGGGAACAGAGGAGGAGGAGGAGGAGGAGGAGGAGGAGGAGGAGGAGGAGGAGGAAGAAGAGGAGAGCAGGAGTCAACGACGGGAGGAGCGGCTGCAGGAGCGGCCGCCCGACCCCTCCACGCATGGGGTCGCCTGGGGCTTGCCGCCTCCTCCGAACAGCAGCCCCAGAAGGCTGCCGCCGGCGGCGGTGGCGTGGCTCTGCTCTTTCACGTTGCTCTGCTTGATCTGCGCCTCGAGCTCGAGCCTGGCGCCCATCGGCGCGCGCAAGAGTGGCCCTAGGCAAGAGCGACCTTTGGTGCACGGTGTTGGGGGGCCACGGGAGCGCCAGCTCCAAGCGCGCCAGCCAACGCTGGGGGGACCCCTGGGAGCCCGCAACAAAGGTCACTGTGGCGAAAGGGTCACTCTTACGCGCAGCCAGGCCCAACTCCTGCTCATCATGCTTTCCCGTTTCCCAGGTATCTGCCCCCCTCCATAAGTATCCTCCTCAACATGTTTTGCTGTTTTACACGCCACGACCACAAGATCTTGACTCGCCGCGACCACAAGGCCAATCTAAGGCCGTCAGGCAAGAGAGAACGCCGCATGAGCCGACCTGCAGTAGATAAAATCATGTAGTAAACCACACCCTGAAAGTGAAAGCGATTGTGCTGTAAATGAACCCGTGGAGGAGGCGGAGGAGGAGGAGGAGGAGGAGGAGGAGAGAAGGGGATCCTCTACCTCATCATCACCAACACCAACAAGCCGGGCGTCCGAGCACAATTTCACGCTCGAGCCGGTCGAAGTGTTAGAGAATATCATGTTGTGAATGGGCGTATGCGGAAAGGAGAAACTCAACCAGTGCAATCTTGAGAAAAGTATTGACCCTTACAAGGTGGAGTCGGCGTCGCGGCCGAGAACGAGTCTAGCTTCACTCTCGAGGCGCTCGAGTTCCCGGGAGAGGACCTCTTAGTCCGCGGCCGCGGTCGGAAAGCAGGACTCCAACAAGTGCGGAGTCTCAGGGAATGAATGCGGCCCTCTTTGTGGAGGACGTCGAGGTGGAGAGGGTCACCGACGCCCATGGTGACCTAAAGTTTGACCTGGAAGCGTTCGATATCCTCGGGATTGCCGTCGACGGCGATGACGACGGCTCCTCCGCCGGCGCTGGCGATAGACGACGACGATGACAAGGACACCATTAACTCGGACGTTATTCCCATCGGAGCGCAGTGGGCAGATCTCGAGAAATCTGGGGGCACCCATGATAGCGCGTGGCAGCAGCTGTCTGCCCACGACTGGTCGAAGGGGACCACCACCAGCTTCCCCAGCCGCTGCACAAGCGGCCAGCCCCAGGACTCGTAGCAAGCATGCCGCCAGTCAGCATACACGGCGGGAGCGGCGGCAGCGGCGCAAGGCCGGCGCTGCACCTGCCTCATCCTGAAGGTCCCACCCCGAGAGAATGGAGCGGGCATGGTCATCCCTCTGGAGTCGCACCGAACTGCATGCGCGAAACGTGGCCTGGGCTTTTCTGGGTGGCCAGACAACCGAGGCGACAGCGCAGCCAACGCGTGCCCGCGGCAGCATATGCACCAAATTACAAGGGATGCGGAGAAGGAGGAGGGGGAGGAGGAGGAGGAGGAGGAGGAGGAGGAGGAGGAGGAGGAGGAGGAGGAGGGCGGCCGGCTCAGCCCGCCGCCATGCAGGCTCCCGGAACCCCAACGGGGCAGGCGCCCGCAGCAGCCCAGCAGTGGGGCTACGCCGCGGCGCCCTGGCCGACGCGGGCGAGGACGCGCGCCCAGTGAGCAGCCAGCCGCTCGGCCGCTGGCGGCGCCGACGACGGCCGCGCCGCGGCCGCCCGCGCCTCGCAGATGGCCTGCGTGGCCGCGTCGGCAGCGGCCGCACGCGCAGCAGAAGCAGCGCGGGCTGCCGCGGCGTGCGCCGCGCGCCGTGCCCCCGGCGCGCGTGGGCGGCCAGCGGCGGCGGCCGCGGCGGGCGGCAGCGCGGCGGGCGGGGGCGGCGCCCCCCCCGCGGGCAGCCGCGGTGCCAGCGGCGCGCGCTGCGGCGGGGCACCCACGCGAGCCAACGCCCTCGGGCGCCGCATGGCGGCCGCGTCGCGCCGGACGGCGCCGCCAGGCCCGACCAGCTCGCGAACGTGGTTGTTCGCGGCGTGGGTGACGGCCCCCAGGACCGCGCCCTCATGCGCCACGAGACACTCCGCCTGCCCGAAGAGCTGCGCGCCCGCCGCGCACTCTGGCGGGCACACCGCAGCCGCTTTGGCAGCAGCGTCGGCCAGGCGATTCGCGCGCCAGTCCACCGCGGTCACGACATGCCCGTCGGACCTCCTGGCTGTGCCGATGCTGGCAACGGAGCCGTGCGCCGGCATCCAAGTGAGCCTCCCGGCCACCAGAATCTCCGTGGCGTCGCCGACCAAGAGCGCGGACACGCGCGACCACAGCTGCGCGAGCATGCGCGTGGGCTGGGTCGCCTGGACCGTGCCGGCCGCAGCAGTAGTCAGGATGGCCTGGCAGACTCTTCCGGAGCGGGGCGCCTGGCCTCCCGCTCCCCGGCGGATCAAGGGGTTGGCCGGCATGCCATGAACCTGCGCTCTTCTTCGTACTTGTGAGGGCACCCCACGCGACGCACATCCTCGGGATGGTTCCAGTGCTCGGGGGGCGCTGTGTTTTTGTAGACGTGTGTGTGGCATTGTTTTCGTCGATGCGCGTCCCTACAGTGCTGTGCAGGTGGAATGTCTTATCTCCATGCAGAGGCTCAGACGGCAGATGGCCGCAAAGCTTTGAATTATAGCGTCTAGCGAACTGTCCCGTGAAATTGTTCCGACGTCATCGCCCCTATGCATCCGAACGTTCATTTCCCAGGATCTAACCTACGATCGGTTGCTCCTGCTGTGCAACATGGGGTCAGTCTCATCAACATCATGAACGTCATCGTCGTCATTGCCGTCGTCATCGTCATCATCACTGTTGCCCGCATCATCACCATCATCATAATTGTCTTCATCATCCTCCTCCTCCGCCTCCTCCTCCTGCTTCTCGTCCTCCTTTTCCTCCACTCAATTTTCCTCCTCCTGGCGCACACACCCAGTCCCAGAATCCGAGCGTGACACGGAGGGACGGCGCGCTAGACACCGCGCCCCCCCTGCCCTGCCCCTTGCCAGGTCCATCTGAGCGAGGCGGGAGCACATCCGTGTCCGCCGACTGAAAAAGAAAGCGACGTCCTGGGTCCCCAGCGGGCGGCGCATATGAATACACGTTTGCCCCTCGGGGGGGGAAGGGGAGGGGGGGGGGAGGAAGGGAGCAAGACACGTCCGTGTGGAGGGGGGGGGAGGGGCCAAACACGACGCGCCCGCCGCCTGGAAGAGCGACGTCCTAGGACCCCAGCGGGTGGTGGATATGGATTTACGTTTGCCCTTTGTCGGGGGTTGCTAAAGGTGCCCCTGGCCCAAGGTACCCCCAGCTTTTCGCTCTAGTTTGGAGCGCCTCGTGAAGGGTGCCCTGGAGGCCGTCTGGGCCACCCAGAGAATCCTGGGGGGACCTCGGGCCAGGGGCACCTCTAGCAACACCCGACTTTGGGGAGGGGGGGCAGGGCAAATGCGTCCATGTCGGCCGCCTGCCGAGGCGACACGCCGACGCCAGGCGAGGCTGACGGCGCCTCTGGCGCCCGGCAGCCCCGCCGAGATCGGCCAACTGGCTGGACGGCCGCACGGCCCCCTCGCGACCCGAAACGGCCCTCTCCTCCGGCCCTCGGCGGCGCGCAGGGCGGGGGGGGATGGGGAAGGGCGGAGGGGGGCACTCCGGCCGTTTTTGGTCTGCGGGTCGAGAGCGAGCCTCTTCCGGTTAAGAGCTAGGCGGGAAGCGCAAAGCACTAACTGGGGAGACAGAGCGCGGGCGGGCAGGGCCTCAGGCGGCCGGAGGGCGCGGGGTGCAGGCGGTGCTGACGAGCTTGCACAGGAAAAGGTACACCTTGGACAGGAGCCGGAGGCGGGCACTCCGGCCGTCTGAGAAGCCTTTTCGGCCTTCTCCGAAAAGCCACAGACGGCAAGGCTTCGCAGAGGCCTGGGCGCCTTCTGAGAAGGACGGCCCCCCCCCCCGGCGCGCCGCCGAAGGATATGTCCCTCGCGCCCCGCTCCAAGAACCGTGAGGAGGCAACTCCTGGGCGGCCTCCGCGGGAGTGATTGCGGACTGCTGGGGGGTCCCAAACCTGTTTGATGACAGACCGTGCGGTGCCCGCAACATCCCCACAGACCTCGCCGCGCAGCCTGTCACCACACGGTTTGGAACCTTGGAGGCCCCAGTCGCCCGAAGCATCCTCGGAGAACGACCCAAATCCCAAAACCGTGCGGTCACCCCGAATCCCCACTGACTCGCCGCACCGTCTGAGGGTCCCCGAGATTAAGCCCGGTAAGGTAGGCACCAGGCCGGACTGAGAGTGACTGGGCCGCAGTAAGCTGGCTTTCGACCACGGATAATTACATCAGCGCCGACGCTGTATTCAACCTCCCAGGAGCTGCAACCTAGAATATGTACTGCACGGCTCTCCTGCTATACCGACACGGACACGAGGTGGGAAACATTGCCAATATGGCGGACAAGCGCGATCGCAAATACCGCTGCAAGAGATCCAGCGGCTCATGCTTCACAAATATTTGAACGTTGCAGGGCGCCCCAAGACTTCATTGGAGTTCCTGGGGCCATCGGGGAGTAGGAGATCACCGCGGGGCACCCGCTGGTGCGCCGGGTTGCCTTCCTTGACGTGCCTCCCGTGCAGCCTGCAGCGCGTACCCAGACCTCCAGAACGCACTGAGGTTCCAGCTGCCCGGGCCACGAGCCCTCGGCCTTCGACGGCATGGACTGAGCACCGCTCTGCGTGCTCTCGCTGTACCTCGTCCTGCCGAGTCCCCACGGGGAACAACAAGCGTCGCCCTCCAGCCATCCTTGGCCCCTGCAGGGCCGCCGTGGAAGCCTGCATGCAAAGGTGAGCGCGCGATGTGTGCGTCACACTATGCAGTGCATTATCTCGCGCTGGCTGCTGCACAACCCAGAGGGGGGCGCCTCTTTTTCTGCAGGCCCTCGATCCGCTCTTGCTTCTTCTCGCACTCCTCGACCTGGGCGGTCCCCCCCTTGGAGTCCCACGCGAGCGAAGAGAAAGCAACGCACATGAATCGGGCATCCGAAGAATCGGCGAGCCGGACACCTGATGGACACAACTGCTCCGGCGTTCGCAAGACACGAGGACAGCTTGTGCCTGGAGGGTCCGACGGAGGGAGAAGCGGCATGGAAGGCTTGCAGCCAGCCGAAGTGCAAGTATATTGCACGTGCCGTCCAACTACATCGTAGCTGATCCAGGGATACCTGAAAGCATAGCTGTAGCATGGCGAACACCATCTAACACGTACGTCTTGACTGCATGTCTGCCAGCCTGGTTTCCGACCTGCCTGCCGACCTGCCTAGATACATGCAACAACCTACATAAGAAGTTGCTGATCGCTGCGTCGTTGCTGAATATATCACTCCTGCTTGCTTGTTTCCACATGGCAACCGTAGGGCAGCATCAAATTGACCTGCTTCGGATCTACCTTGAAGCCGCAGCATAATGAGCCATACTCTCAGCATCGGCTCGGCAAATCATGTGAAAGTAATGTGTCGACCATGCGGCCAAGTCCGGTAGTAGACTCTACGGCAAGAGGGCAACGGGGCACAGCCGGATAGTCAATGCCAAGGGGGCCACCAAGAAGGGGGTCACCACTAAGGGGGTCGCCAGCCGTGCCGTCGGCACTGGGCGAACTGCACTCAGGACCCTGAGAGTCTTCAAGATCATCAAACGTACCGGTACGATCCCGCTCTGCATTATTCCGACCGTGCGACCGTGCCCTGGCTTCCCTGCGACAGTGAACTGCGAGTGTGACGGCGCCGCTGCGACTGCGTCCTGTGAGTATAACAGCCCCCGCGGCTCCATGTCCTGTGACCATGCCCCGGCCCCCCTGCAACTGTGCCCTGGCTGGCTCCTTCGGACCAGGGGCCCTCGCGACGCCTGGTTAGCATGCACTCCTTGTTTGCAATGGCCCCAAACCCCCAACGCATGGGACTCCCAAACGCTTCAGGGCGCACCCAGGGCGTGCCGTGCAATTTTTACGGGATGCACGCTCTCGGAACTCAAATCCCCAACATGCCCTACGGTGGTCCCAGGGGTCCGTGCTGGAGCCCTCCAAAGAGGCACCCCAGAGGCCCCAAGAGGAACCCCAAAGGCCCGGGAAGCCAGCCGTGACCCCGAAAAGGCCCTCAGAGACGCTGGTGAAGCTGATCAATATGAATGCCAGAAGTGTGCGAACTTGCCTCCGCTTCCAAAGCAAGGTGATCAATGTGACCCCTATGGATGTCGAGAACTTGCATCCGCTTCCACCTGTCCCGGGGCCCTGCGCGGACCCACATCGGACTCTCTCGAAAGCAGCACCAGCACCATAGATTGAGGCATCCTGGCAGGGGCTCGTGTCGGCCGCCGGGGTGGGCCTCATGGAGCTTCGGGGCCACCGTAGGTCACCCTGACGCCTCTTGAGGCCCCTGGGACCAAAACAGCCGCCAACTTGGCTGATCCTGGACGTGTTGGACTGGGGGAGTCCGCCAGCGATCACCCTGGGAAGCCCTCATGGCTCATCACTCCGATCAACGAAGAAAGGAAGTGCGCCCTACGCGCGCAATTCCGTCGGCACTGGGCGAACTGCACTCAGGACCCTGAGAGTCTTCAAGATCATCAAACGTACCGGTACGATCCCGCTCTGCATTATTCCGACCGTGCGACCGTGCCCTGGCTTCCCTGCGACAGTGAACTGCGAGTGTGACGGCGCCGCTGCGACTGCGTCCTGTGAGTATAACAGCCCCCGCGGCTCCATGTCCTGTGACCACGCCCGGGCCCCCCTGCAACTGTGCCCTGGCTGGCTCCTTCGGACCAGGGGCCCTCGCGACGCCTGGTTAGCATGCACTCCTTGTTTGCAATGGCCCCAAACCCCCAACGCATGGGACTCCCAAACGCTTCAGGGCGCACCCAGGGCGTGCCGTGCAATTTTTACGGGATGCACGCTCTCGGAACTCAAATCCCCAACATGGTCCCAGGGGTCCGTGCTGGAGCCCTCCAAAGAGGCACCACAGAGGCCCCAAAAGAGGAACCCCAAAGGCCCGGGAAGCCAGCCGTGACCCCGAAAAGGCACTCAGAGACGCTGACGAAGCTGATCAATATGAATGCCAGAAGTGTGCGAACTTGCCTCCGCTTCCAAAGCAAGGTGATCAATGTGACCCCTATGGATGTCGAGAACTTGCATCCGCTTCCACCTGTCCCGGGGCCCTGCGCGGACCCACATCGGACTCTCTCGAAAGCAGCACCAGCACCATAGATTGAGGCATCCTGGCAGGGGCTCGTGTCGGCCGCCGGGGTGGGCCTCATGGAGCTTCGGGGCCACCGTAGGTCACCCTGACGCCTCTTGAGGCCCCTGGGACCAAAACAGCCGCCAACTTGGCTGATCCTGGACGTGTTGGACTGGGGGAGTCCGCCAGCGATCACCCTGGGAAGCCCTCATGGCTCATCACTCCGATCAACGAAGAAAGGAAGTGCGCCCTACGCGCGCAATTCCGTCGGCACTGGGCGAACTGCACTCAGGACCCTGAGAGTCTTCAAGATCATCAAACGTACCGGTACGATCCCGCTCTGCATTATTCCGACCGTGCGACCGTGCCCTGGCTTCCCTGCGACAGTGAACTGCGAGTGTGACGGCGCCGCTGCGACTGCGTCCTGTGAGTATAACAGCCCCCGCGGCTCCATGTCCTGTGACCATGCCCCGGCCCCCCTGCAACTGTGCCCTGGCTGGCTCCTTCGGACCAGGGGCCCTCGCGACGCCTGGTTAGCATGCACTCCTTGTTTGCAATGGCCCCAAACCCCCAACGCATGGGACTCCCAAACGCTTCAGGGCGCACCCAGGGCGTGCCGTGCAATTTTTACGGGATGCACGCTCTCGGAACTCAAATCCCCAACATGCCCTACGGTGGTCCCAGGGGTCCGTGCTGGAGCCCTCCAAAGAGGCACCCCAGAGGCCCCAAGAGGAACCCCAAAGGCCCGGGAAGCCAGCCGTGACCCCGAAAAGGCCCTCAGAGACGCTGGTGAAGCTGATCAATATGAATGCCAGAAGTGTGCGAACTTGCCTCCGCTTCCAAAGCAAGGTGATCAATGTGACCCCTATGGATGTCGAGAACTTGCATCCGCTTCCACCTGTCCCGGGGCCCTGCGCGGACCCACATCGGACTCTCTCGAAAGCAGCACCAGCACCATAGATTGAGGCATCCTGGCAGGGGCTCGTGTCGGCCGCCGGGGTGGGCCTCATGGAGCTTCGGGGCCACCGTAGGTTACCCTTACGCCTCTTGAGGCCCCTGGGACCAAAACAGCCGCCAACTTGGCTGATCCTGGACGTGTTGGACTGGGGGAGTCCGCCAGCGATCACCCTGGGAAGCCCTCATGGCTCATCACTCCGATCAACGAAGAAAGGAAGTGCGCCCTACGCGCGCAATTCCGTCGGCACTGGGCGAACTGCACTCAGGACCCTGAGAGTCTTCAAGATCATCAAACGTACCGGTACGATCCCGCTCTGCATTATTCCGACCGTGCGACCGTGCCCTGGCTTCCCTGCGACAGTGAACTGCGAGTGTGACGGCGCCGCTGCGACTGCGTCCTGTGAGTATAACAGCCCCCGCGGCTCCATGTCCAGTGACCACGCCCGGGCCCCCCTGCAACTGTGCCCTGGCTGGCTCCTTCGGACCAGGGGCCCTCGCGACGCCTGGTTAGCATGCACTCCTTGTTTGCAATGGCCCCAAACCCCCAACGCATGGGACTCCCAAACGCTTCAGGGCGCACCCAGGGCGTGCCGTGCAATTTTTACGGGATGCACGCTCTCGGAACTCAAATCCCCAACATGGTCCCAGGGGTCCGTGCTGGAGCCCTCCAAAGAGGCACCACAGAGGCCCCAAAAGAGGAACCCCAAAGGCCCGGGAAGCCAGCCGTGACCCCGAAAAGGCACTCAGAGACGCTGACGAAGCTGATCAATATGAATGCCAGAAGTGTGCGAACTTGCCTCCGCTTCCAAAGCAAGGTGATCAATGTGACCCCTATGGATGTCGAGAACTTGCATCCGCTTCCACCTGTCCCGGGGCCCTGCGCGGACCCACATCGGACTCTCTCGAAAGCAGCACCAGCACCATAGATTGAGGCATCCTGGCAGGGGCTCGTGTCGGCCGCCGGGGTGGGCCTCATGGAGCTTCGGGGCCACCGTAGGTCACCCTGACGCCTCTTGAGGCCCCTGGGACCAAAACAGCCGCCAACTTGGCTGATCCTGGACGTGTTGGACTGGGGGAGTCCGCCAGCGATCACCCTGGGAAGCCCTCATGGCTCATCACTCCGATCAACGAAGAAAGGAAGTGCGCCCTACGCGCGCAATTCCGTCGGCACTGGGCGAACTGCACTCAGGACCCTGAGAGTCTTCAAGATCATCAAACGTACCGGTACGATCCCGCTCTGCATTATTCCGACCGTGCGACCGTGCCCTGGCTTCCCTGCGACAGTGAACTGCGAGTGTGACGGCGCCGCTGCGACTGCGTCCTGTGAGTATAACAGCCCCCGCGGCTCCATGTCCTGTGACCACGCCCGGGCCCCCCTGCAACTGTGCCCTGGCTGGCTCCTTCGGACCAGGGGCCCTCGCGACGCCTGGTTAGCATGCACTCCTTGTTTGCAATGGCCCCAAACCCCCAACGCATGGGACTCCCAAACGCTTCAGGGCGCACCCAGGGCGTGCCGTGCAATTTTTACGGGATGCACGCTCTCGGAACTCAAATCCCCAACATGCCCTACGGTGGTCCCAGGGGTCCGTGCTGGAGCCCTCCAAAGAGGCACCCCAGAGGCCCCAAGAGGAACCCCAAAGGCCCGGGAAGCCAGCCGTGACCCCGAAAAGGCCCTCAGAGACGCTGGTGAAGCTGATCAATATGAATGCCAGAAGTGTGCGAACTTGCCTCCGCTTCCAAAGCAAGGTGATCAATGTGACCCCTATGGATGTCGAGAACTTGCATCCGCTTCCACCTGTCCCGGGGCCCTGCGCGGACCCACATCGGACTCTCTCGAAAGCAGCACCAGCACCATAGATTGAGGCATCCTGGCAGGGGCTCGTGTCGGCCGCCGGGGTGGGCCTCATGGAGCTTCGGGGCCACCGTAGGTTACCCTTACGCCTCTTGAGGCCCCTGGGACCAAAACAGCCGCCAACTTGGCTGATCCTGGACGTGTTGGACTGGGGGAGTCCGCCAGCGATCACCCTGGGAAGCCCTCATGGCTCATCACTCCGATCAACGAAGAAAGGAAGTGCGCCCTACGCGCGCAATTCCGTCGGCACTGGGCGAACTGCACTCAGGACCCTGAGAGTCTTCAAGATCATCAAACGTACCGGTACGATCCCGCTCTGCATTATTCCGACCGTGCGACCGTGCCCTGGCTTCCCTGCGACAGTGAACTGCGAGTGTGACGGCGCCGCTGCGACTGCGTCCTGTGAGTATAACAGCCCCCGCGGCTCCATGTCCAGTGACCACGCCCGGGCCCCCCTGCAACTGTGCCCTGGCTGGCTCCTTCGGACCAGGGGCCCTCGCGACGCCTGGTTAGCATGCACTCCTTGTTTGCAATGGCCCCAAACCCCCAACGCATGGGACTCCCAAACGCTTCAGGGCGCACCCAGGGCGTGCCGTGCAATTTTTACGGGATGCACGCTCTCGGAACTCAAATCCCCAACATGGTCCCAGGGGTCCGTGCTGGAGCCCTCCAAAGAGGCACCACAGAGGCCCCAAAAGAGGAACCCCAAAGGCCCGGGAAGCCAGCCGTGACCCCGAAAAGGCACTCAGAGACGCTGACGAAGCTGATCAATATGAATGCCAGAAGTGTGCGAACTTGCCTCCGCTTCCAAAGCAAGGTGATCAATGTGACCCCTATGGATGTCGAGAACTTGCATCCGCTTCCACCTGTCCCGGGGCCCTGCGCGGACCCACATCGGACTCTCTCGAAAGCAGCACCAGCACCATAGATTGAGGCATCCTGGCAGGGGCTCGTGTCGGCCGCCGGGGTGGGCCTCATGGAGCTTCGGGGCCACCGTAGGTCACCCTGACGCCTCTTGAGGCCCCTGGGACCAAAACAGCCGCCAACTTGGCTGATCCTGGACGTGTTGGACTGGGGGAGTCCGCCAGCGATCACCCTGGGAAGCCCTCATGGCTCATCACTCCGATCGACGAAGAAAGGAAGTGCGCCCTACGCGCGCAATTCCGTCGCTTGGGCGGCATGGGGACCGAAAGCGGCTTGCCAAGGCCAGGCCACTGCCAGCTGCTCCGGGCTGCCGATGGCTCTGGTGGTGCGGCTGCAAGATCTCGAGCCCCCTGTCACTGATCGGCAGATGTCCATCATAGCTGCTAACAGGAACCTGGAAACACATGTGGCTGGTGTCACATACGGTGGGGGCATTGGATAAGGAAGCATTGGATAAGGAATCCAGGGTCTGGAAGCCAGTGGAACTCCAATCGCGGATTGGCAGTGGATATGACCGCCGCCCTCATCAGATCAGGAACCCTCCAGGGTCTGAAGCCTCCCGTGCACGTTCCTTAACCAGCGCCCCCACCGTATGGAACATACGCAAGCCACGCGCTGGATAGACACGCGAAAGCCCAGCGCACCCAGCCACAGAGGGCCGGCCGCTGGGGAGTCTGGCCGCGTGCGTATCCAGCTTTCTGGTAGTTTCCCCCTGGGGAGGGGCCGCCGTGACGCCCGCTCGGCGTACTTTGTCAAGGCGTAGTTTTGCTTCGTGCACTGTCTGCGTATTCGACCATGGAGCCCTTGCCACCCGTCGTTCTGTGGGGGTCCTCGGCGGACTTCAGACTGTCTTCTGACGGTCACTGGCTGTCTTCGGCGGTGCGTCGGCAATCTTCGGTGGCGTCTGGCGGTCTTCGGCGCAACAGCTGCGGTGACGTACAACAAGGGATCCATGATCTGGTGCTGCTTGAGCTGGTCCTCCTCCTCCTCCTCCTCCTCCTCCCCCTCCTCCTCCTTCTCCTCCTCCTCCGCCTCCTCCTCCCCCTCCTCCTCCTCCTTCTCCTCCTCCTCCGCCTCCTCCTCCCTCTCCTCCTCCTCCTCCTCCCAGTCGTCCTCGTCCTCGTGCTACTCCGTCGGTGGTCCCCCCGCCCGCCTTCTCGAAGTACGAGTTGAGCGTGTCGCCGCCCCACACGAAGGACTGCCAGTCCTCCTGGCCCGCCCACGGCCGCAACTCTGCCGCCCCTGGCTCACGCCCTCTGCAAGTGCCGGGGGAACGAAGAAACAGATGCAAACGTCCTGCCATCACTAGGCGGCGCGCCCAGGGGGGAAGTGACAAGGAGAAGGCCTTCTCAGAAGGCTCGGAACTTCCCGGGACTTCTGAGAAGTTTTCCAAGCCTTGCCCGAGGACAGAAAAGACTTCTCAGAAGGCCGGAGGCCTTCTGAGAAGTCCCTCCGCCTTCTGACAGGGCCTTCTCCTTCTCACTTCCCCCCCCCTCGCTCGCCTCCGAATCACGGGGAGTCGTGAATGAGGGGCGAAGGGGCTCTCCTGGCCACGGCGAGCCTCGGCCACGAACAGGCGCCCCGACCTGCACCCAGAGAGCGAACCGAAAACCAGAGCCCCGTCCCGACCCCCAGGGTGTCCTTAACTTCGGCGCCTCGATCGTGCACGTAAAGTTCCGGATGTCCGCGCGGAGTTCTTGGAGCGGCGCTGGGACCCTCTGGCGCCACCTCTGGCGCCGCCCTTGGCGAGCTTCGCGTTCCAGGGGAGGGGGTCCGGCGCCGATCCGAGAAATGTACGCGGACCCCCGAAAGTGTATGTTTATGCAACTCTGTTTGTTCGAATTACATTCAAGGGGCCCTGGGACACACAAATAAATACAAACTCCAGGGTTCCCAATATCTTTCCATATGCTCTGGATGTTCGTCTTCCTGGGAATCGACGATGAATTGTGTCTGTGTTTTTTCCCCTCATGAAACATTCCCACTTGGTGTGCCCATGACATTGTTTATATCACTCTGGCTTTCCAGCCGAGACCAGGCTACCTCCACACCACCGAAGCCTCCACCCCACCGAAGCTGCCTCCCCGTACACTCAGAGTCGAACTCGAAGGCTTTTTGGAAACAGCTGGCGAATCACCCCTCACCCAAGACAGGCATGGGGGAAGATTGCATAAACCACCACGTGCCCCCCTCGATTCACCTGTCTTGACCTTCGGCGCATCATCTCCGAGCCGTCAGGGTGAACATGAGGGAGAGAGGAAGGGAAGTGGTGCATGATACTAGTCCAAGCCGATGGCCAAAACATAGACTTCAGTGCGCACCGAATCCCGGGCCTGGTCCCACTGCGCGTTTGGCCCGAGATCTCCAGGAGGGACAGCGCTGGGTGAGATCAGGAATGGCTGTCAACTGGCTCGCTCCACACATCCAGAATCCCTCCCCCCAATGTCATCTCACGGGGTCGACGCTCCCCCTTCCGCCAGCTTCCGCCGGCCTTCCGCTGGCCTCCGACGGCGCACCCGCCACCGCTCTACTCCGCCGCCTTCCGCCGCCTTCCGCGGAGGACAAGATAGCAACTGATCGATCCCTCGAGAGCGAGGCGGTTTCCTGAACCGCTGAAAACTCAGACCCCCGACGTCATGATCTTTTCATTACGTCGACCCCCGAGGTCTGAACCTATTCCCCGAGACCGGTTTCTCATCCCGAGTCGTTGTTTGACGATCCCGAAGCCAGGCAAGGGCCCCCAAAGGCCGAAGATGGTAAAAAACCTCCCGCCGTGTTTTTTTCATTACTCGAGGGGGTCTGGGAACGAGAGAAAGCCGAAAGGCTGAGAGAGCAGACGCGGGAAGTCGACGGCAGGGGATCCGTCGGCGCATCGTCGGCACGCGAGCACTGTGCGGCGCGCCCGACGGGCGAGGGTCGGACACGCTCCGCACAGCAGGGGCCGCAGCGAGGGCAGCGAGTACCCGCCGAAGCTACCAGTCACCGCCAAGCTCCTCCTCCTCCTCCTCCTCCACCTCCTCCTCCTCATCCTCCTCCTCCTCCTCCTCCTCCACTCATAACATCACCAACACCATCACAATCACCATCGTCCTCCTCCTCTTCCTCCTCCCCCTCCTCCAACTCCTCCTACTCCTCCTCACCCTCCTCTTCCTCCTCCTCCTCCACCTCATCCTCCTCATCATCAGCATCATCAGCATCACCATCAGCATCAGCATAAGCATCATCATCAGCAGCAGCAGTATCATCGTCATCATCTTCAGCAGCATCATCATGTTCATCAGCATCCCCATCATCATCGTCATCATCATTATCATCGTCGTTATCATCGGCATCCACCTCCTCCTCCTCCTCCACCTTATCAGCATCATCATCAGTTCACCACCACCACCACTATCACCACCACCATCATCCTCACCATCATCAACATCAGCATCAGCATCATCAGCATCATCATCACCACCACCATCATCATCAGCATCATCATCGTCATCATCATCAGCATCACCAACATCCTCATCATCATCAACATCAGCATCGTCATCATGATCATAATCACCATCACCATCATCACCATCATCAGCATCATCATCAACATCATCATCATCATCATCACCATCATCATCGTCAACACCAACATGATCAGCATCATCATCACCATCATCATCAGCATCATCATCATCATCATCAGTATCATCGTCATCAGCAGCCATCAGCAGCATCATCAGCATCGTCAGCATCATGGTCATTATCATCGCCATCGTCCTCGGCATGGCCGTCGTCATCATCATCAACATCATCAGCATCAGCATAATCATCGTCATCAGTACCACCTTCCTCTTCAACAGCAACATCATCATCATAATCCTCCTCAGCATCGTCATCATCATCATCATCATCATCATCATCATCATCATCATCGTCAGCATCATCATCATCATCACCATCATCATCGTCATCAACATCGTTCTCGGCCGTCATCGTCATCAGCATCATCAACATCATTAGCATCGGCAGCATCATCAGCATCATCATCGACATCATCAAGGTCATAATAAGCATCAACATACTCATCGTCTTCAGCAGCAGCATCGGCATCATCATCATCATCCTCATCAGCATCAACATCGTCATCATCGTCGTTGCCGTCGTCATCATCATGATCACCAGCATCATCATCAGCAGCATCATCAGCATAAGAATCAGCATCATCATCATCAGCATCATCAGTATCGTATTAATCGCCGTCATAACCATCACCATCACAATCATCACCATCGTCACAAGCACCACCATCATCATCATCATCACCATCATCATCATAATCAGCATCATCATCATCATCATCATCATCACCACCACCACCACCATCATCATCAGCATCATCACCCCGACATCATCACCATCGTCATCGTCGTCGTCGTCCGAGTCGTTGTCGTCATCGTCGTCGTCATCGGAGACGGAGTCGGAGTCGAAGTCGTCGTCGTCGTCCTCCTCCTCCTCGCCGCCCTCCGTCACCTCCTCCTCCTCCACCCTTCTCCTCCCCCATCCTCCTCCTTCTCCTACTACCCCATCTCCTCCTCCTCCTCCTTCTTCTCCTCCTTTCAGTTCAGTTCACTGTGGAGGCAGGTGTCAGTGCCACCCGCCCCTAGCAACAGACACAGCTTAGGACACGATACCTTGATCAGCCTCCGCTGGCAAAATCAAGCCATATCTTGAGAGGAGCTGACCAGGGGTCCACTTCTCCTCCCACAGGCTATCAACAAAATCACATGCCTCAGGCTCGCCCCCCCCCCCCCCCCGAAAGCTGGACCCCCTTGTGCGACGCACGGACCAGGGACACAAGATCCAGGGGGGTTGGCGATCGGCGGCCTGTGACCGACCAACCTTTGCACGGCCGAGCCCAGCTAGGAAAGTCACCTTTAGCAAACCTCGTCCTCTGTCGCTTGAGGTCCTTAGTGGGGGGGTGGCCAGGGCATCTATTGGCTAGCGAGGCCACTCCAGCCCACGCATAGCCACCACAACGAATGCACGACATCACCCACCAACTCCCAGCCGCCCGACTCCCGTCCCCCACGAAGACCTTTGCCTTGCAAAGGCTGTGCCCCTGGAGGCGGGCAAGCAAGGACAGCTCAGACAACTGCTCAGGGCTGCCAGGGCTCTCGGTCCCTGTGTCCGAGAGAATCGGCACTCGAAAATCGACTCGAGGCCACCAGGGAGCCGAAAGCTGACGCAACGCCCTGGCCTGGCAACGAATTTGGCCTTTCTTATCAAGGATGGGGAAATCGCGTTCCGATCTCTCAGCCTCAGAGGGCCCAGGGAACCCAGACGCGTCAGCCCAACCTCTATCGGCCATGATCACATCCTGAATTGCTCCCCATCGCACGATCTCTTCTTGGACCGCACGACAGGCGCCGATGGCCTTAACCATCATCTCGGGCACGGGGTGCACGCGTGCTCCTAGCCCGGCCAAACGATCCGCATGCTCATTGCCGAGCCTATCTACATCACTGCACACCCCATTTAGAACGTCTGCCATCGTGGCGTGGCCTTTGACCTTTCTGGCCCTCAGGCCGCCCTCAAAAACATGCCACACAAAGCTCCAGAGGTGGGCCCTGGAATTCTGGGACGAGCAACTCTTGGCCTTATCCCACACGCACCCGAGAGTCCCAGAGCAGCCAGTGCAAATCTCAAAGTCGGAAAAAGGGTCAACGAGCTCAGCCGCCATCCTGTAGGCATAGTCCTCACCATCCCTGGCCTGCTGGCTAGGCGCCACCCCCCTGGGCACGGGTCCGAAGGCAGCACACAACAGCTCTCCTTGGGAGCTCACCTGTACGAGGCTCCACCCCGCACGTCTCCTGAAATCACAAGCGGGGTGGACCGCGGACCCGTCAGATAAAATCAAGCCCTGGAGTTTACCTGAGGCTGGCTTGTTGAACCACCACATAGAACATGTATCTCTACCTAGGGCCTGCGGGATCAGTTCTTTGGGAAAGGGTAGCACACCTGCGGCAAACTTTTCCAAATCCGGATTCATGTCACGAGCATGGCGGGCGACCTGCATGCACTGCGTCGAGAGATGCATGCATCTGTCCTCCAGGAAAGCCTTGCACCTGAAGCGCCTGTGGTACAGAGTTCCTCGCTCGGCACGGCAAAGCCGGCAGAGGTCCTCATCGGCTAGCCCGTGATCCTTAAGCCGAGCCTGCGTCCAGG